TTCTGTATTAAATGGTAATGGAGATCGTGTAATGAGTACTAGCGTACCCCAACAGTACAATACAGGTGGTACCTAGTACCTCTAGTCACACCAGTTATGTGGCATGCCTACCTAATACATGATGAGATATTTAACTCTAATTATCATAGATCACGATTCTTAACAGCAGATTTCGTTGTATAGGTACATATACAGCTAAAACAATTCATGTCGAATTGAATCCTTACTTAACGTTCATGTCGGTATGAGGGCAAATTACTTGGTTTTATTATTATTATTATTATACAGATTTCCATAAGTCATGAAAGGAAATAAAATGACCTGGTGTAAATATATATGCAGTTTTGACAAAGGATCAAAAGTTTCTTCCATTTGTATTTATGACAGGTAAATTGTCTTACTACGGAATCTATTTTTTTTTTTTTTTAATTTCAGCTTATTTCACATTTAGTCTCATCCATGATCCATATAATTAGTTATTTGTAAACAATGTTGAATTATATGCTTTGTTAGAATTGTTAGGTCAGTTTCTTTCTCTCTTTTTTCTGTATTTATGTATAACTACTACAGCGAGCATTACCCCATCACTGACGACAAACCCCTCGATTCATGTCGCAAAATCCCAATTTGATTACGCAGCTTAAGACTACTTGAAATGTGAAGTGTATTTGGTTCTACCTGAATAATAGGCGGGTCTACCTAGTGGTAATACCACATATTCAATCTCATGTGGCTATTGTTGTTTTTTTTTTTTTAATTTTTATTTTTGTCCACAATAAGATTATCTAGAATTAGGAGGGGCATTTAAAAGACAGTCAGAAATCTAAAGCGGCGTACCGTGTAATTAAACGAGATTTCAATTTCTCAATATCTTAACTGTTAACTAATGGTGTGTAGGATGGGTTTGAACAGGAGCAGGTACGGCAGTATAAAATTGTGTGCTCTGGCATGGAAAATAGATTAACTTGTAAACTTTTACTTGACCGTGTCTGTAAGTACATTGTTTGAAGAATGATTGTAAATTGTAGGAACAGCATGGCTTTGTTTTATTTACTGTTACTGCATCAACCATACGTACATGTAAGCATGTTACATTTCGTTATGTACACTGTATTTGATTCTACAACTGTTGGGTCTGAAGGAGAAGACTTTTGAAATTTGAGTTAATTTAACACCCTTTGAGTCCCGATCATTGGGGCCAATGCTGGTCATCAAATCTTATGTCAGCAAATAAAACCTATCTAATTTGACCCATAGCATCAAAATACTATTACAATTTCATATTGCAGATGGAAGATTGAATTTCATGATACTGTGATTTTTATAACAGCACGGAAGATGATTATAATAAACAAACCTTTCATGTTTCACAGCATTGAACTCATCGCCTGTCACGTCGATGTCGTCCGTTATAATTATCACATTAATACATTACTGTTTGGCAGATGCTTTCTTATAGTTTTCAATCTGTCACGTACCATTTATTTTTCACGTCCATTTTACTCATCATAGTTATGTGTGATCGGTTTAATTAGAGAGTATAATCGGGTAAATACTCTATACTCTATAGAATACAGAAATGTGATTATTCATTACGTTCTCAATACATACAGATATGTAATAAGACCATTCTACTCAAATTTCCTTCACAATGATGTACGTATATCTATCAACGCGCAATCACGAGTGACGTGCATTTTGAATCCATTATATTAATTAATATGCAAAACTGTAAAAGGTTTAGAAATAACACCGATGTTGGTAGTGAATGAATTCCTTTTTTCTAAGCTGCAGATGTCTGCACCAATTCATCACTACATAAATACCTCGCCCATTGCTCATTGTACATTTAATTATATGTCTAAGACGAGATATGAAATTAAATCACTGAAATGACTTACATTTAAAGATCATATACATGATTCATCAATAGCGAAATATGAGCCACCCCAGCAGACTAGTCACGTGACTAAAAACGCTAGGATAATCAAATTTAAAATGAATATTGTTACTGAAAATGATGATTCTTATACATAAAATTATTATTTCTGTTTTGTTTTTGTTTTTTTCAACGTCGGCTTATATCAAGTTCACAACAAAGTTTATTTTATCGGGAAAAGAATTTTAAAAAACTGATTAATTAAGTATAAACTTTATTTTTTACAACAATTGCGAAACAAGCTTTCAGTTGATATTAATCACTCTTGTTGTCTCGGATGGAAGGGCGCAGGGGGTCTTACTGTGGGAGGAAACCGGAGTGTTCCGGGGAAAACCCACGTGATCTGGCAGGTAGCCTCTTACCTTTTCACGTCCGGTTCCTGGAATCGGACCCCGGACGGCTAGGTAAATGCCGAGTGTATTATCACTACGCCACTGGATCACCCTGATTAATTATTCATAGTTTTATTTTTTTGATAGCTGATTTGATTGTGATCATATTTAGAATGGCCACATGAATAAGTACATCACTATCACACCTGTTACATTGTACAGGTAAACACGCTAGTACTACAGTCCCTTCCACTCACCAAATGGGGACTTTAATAAAATGTGTCACCACCATTATTCAATCCGTTTACAGTCCATTCTTGTTTATTGGCTGTACCCCCTATGAATTGCCAATGCATTTATTTTATTTGTCTATATTCAAACATCGCCGTTGAATAAATCTACATTTCCCACAACAGTCTTTATAAATATTCAATTTTGATTTTCAGCCATTCATTTCAAATTTTATGTTTGCGACCAAGTAAAAAGAGTAGATCTACAAAGGAACCAATCACACGGAGGTTAAGTTAAAAGGTCTTCCGAATAGACGTCCGCTCGTCTCGTTTATAACATTTGGAATTTACATACCAGTTACAATGTACCTTGGAGTCATTTTGTGAAGTTCTTCGTTGATTCAATTATTATATGTAATAAATGTATATGTTACAAGCTAATCATATCTAGTAGATGGTCGTCTACCAAAATTATATAACGTCTGTCTGGACATGAAACTAACTTTAAAAAGTTAACACGAAAACAAACAATACGCTAACAAGAAGTTTATCCATGTCATGGTAACATTGAATAGCTCCTGGAATGCAAGGTCACAAATTTAAGTCCATCTCGAGAAGTTCAAAATATTGCCAGTATAACGATGAAAATAGGTCAGCCAAAAATGTGTAAAAGATCATACGAGACAGAACAGTATACATCCCAAAATAACTCCTCTTCAATAAGATTCTAACAAATGTATTGACTGCCTGCCCTACTTTCGTATCTGCTGACTACCATTTCTTTCGCAAGAAAATAAACATTTTAACACCAGGGGAATTTGTAAAATCTCCACTACCATTTTTCACTTTTATTGGAAAACATTAACTAGTATGCGGAGTGTGTTAGGTGTAACCAAATTTGTGTGTTTCCTCGATTTTTTTCCTACTTTCACGTTAGCATCACTATTAACACGAAGAAGGCATTACAAGGCGGTTCCCTAAGGACATGGCGTGTTTGGTGACCTATATAAAAGAAAAATGAAGCAATCAGGTAAGAACTAAGGAAAGGGGGCGGATATCTACCACTGACCGAGTCTGAGAAGATCTGTTCTAGACGCGCAAGGAAAAATGTCTGCCACTTATCATGATAAAACTGTTGTGTATATTAAGTTTTTAAATGTTGGAAAGTTGACAGGATAACGTGATAAATTGGTCAAACTTCTGTGTCCTTAATATTGCTAGCCTACCTGCGCATGCGTCACACCATCCTGTAATCAGAGGTGATACCCTCTCACACACGTTCACAAGCACGCGGTCACACACTCATATATAGCGGTTCGAAAGCACAACCTTGTCGCTTACGGTCTGTCTCTACAAAACACTGCACAGCGAGCACGGATTATACACTCCGATGTAATCGGATTCAGCGCTTCTTGATGTTCCTTGTAGGATTTACTTCTTATATTTTGAACCTGTATAATAACACCACTTCACTTCAAATCCATTCAAATAGAAAATCAAGTAAATCCGGTTGTGTAATGGCTCCGTATAACAGTGTCGCAGAGGTTTAGCACATATTTATGGTTTAAGTAATGCAGTTCGTCTTTGGAAATAATCTGTTTATCTTAAATCGTGCCACTCACATCTGAACATCGCATTTGCCGATAATTCGTATGCGAAGCAAGAACGAATTACGATATCCCATCTTGTGTCATTCGGATCAATATTTCATACAAAATAAAACTGTTTCATTTTGAAAATCGAATTCATAGCGATAAGCGGAAGAAATCTGATTCTCTAGAAACATTGCTGTTGTCTGAGAAAGATTCAATACACCTGGTCACGTAATTCAACAACATACTTATACCGTCAAATAACATGCTTTCATTCTTCTATTTTTCTCAGAAACAGTCGCTTTGTAAGTTTATATACATTTGTATTAAACATCGACATAACATATTTACAATCTTATTTAGGACAATGGCAATGTCTCATTGAAACTATGAAATGTGACCGACAATTTCGAATGAATCTTATTTAAAACTTCTCCGTTAAAGTGGCAGTCAAACCATAAAAATGGCATTGCTTTAGGAAAAATTCCAGGTACCTTGAAACTAACATTCTATTTCGCCCTATTGGGGGTTAGTTGAGGTGTCGGGTTGGTAACAGATGAGTACAAACATGTACGGTAAGAAATTCAGATAATTTATTTACTGTTTATTTAACAGGTTGTATCCCCATTATAACGGCCTTTCAGCGGACGAGATCTGAGAGTAAACATGTGTGCCAATATGTAGGGGAGGGAGAATTAGCTGCCGGGAGGGGAGGGGTAATCCTATGGAGTAAGGCAGGGTCGTTCATATAAGCGACGTCACCGTCAGCGGGTGGTAACGAGCACGTGTGGTTGTTCATTTAGAGAAAAGGATTAATATAAACAGGAAGTATCAAAGACGAGTTACAGAGGATGTGGTATTCACTGGGAGGGGGTGTGGGGTGTGGAGGGAATGTTGTTGTACATACCTATTCGGATGGTGTTCTGTAAACCGCTGGACGACGTCACTTGAAGGAGTAGCAGTGTCCCCAGCCAGAAGATTTTGGCGACCATTTCATCTGTGTAGTGGGAGTACGGGACCTGCGGGCCCGTCCTCAATAAGTAGTTCCCGGGTTCCGGGAATCAACCCTCAATTAACACAGAAATCCACTTCTTATTTATCACAAAATTTTCTAGTGTATAACACGCACTTATATATTACGCTTATGTTGAGTCAGACGTGTAATCTCACTAATGTTAATCCAAACTCCGAGAATACCAGCTCCATCTCGCCTTCCGTCAGGGTAAGGGTTCCACTTCTCCCGCTGTTGCTGTTAAAACAAAATAAAATAAAGACTTTAAAATAAGTAAAATGAATTATGCCATGTTCAACTCGAAATCGCACCGGCCATGAAACATGTGAAGATCCTTAGTTTGAATGGGTAGTAATAAAACTATGTCTCACAAGCTAACTGTTGGAGACGTTGTAGTCACACTTCCAAACGGACATGTATATACGTACTTGCTAAGCATAGTAATCGTCACCGCTCAGAAACTATTAACACCATCAGATATCAATCCTTTAAAATCTATATCGAATCAGAGACAAGCGTCTGACAGTATATATAGACATATACGTCTGGACTACGACTTGTATAAAAACAGCCCGGCAATCATCGCTGATTTGTAAACGATTTTTTTACCGAGATGATAAGAGGAATTTGGTCGTACATGTAGTGGTTCTATACATGTTTTGGTGCGTAACAGGTCAGTCTGTAAGGTGTTATGGGCTTTATCTAAATAACTTAAACGTTGGCTATCGAGTCGGGATCAATCATCCGTGGTAATAACACATATTCAATCCCATGTGGCCATTGTTGTTTTGTTTTGTTTGTCCACAATAAGATCTATCCAGAATTTAGAAGGGCATTTAAAAGACAATCGGAGATTTAAAGCGGTGTACTGTGTAGTTACACGGGATTTCAATTTCTCGATGTTTTAATTTACAGTTAACCTGCTCAACATTTAACTAATGGTATGTACAGGTAGAATGGGCCTGTACAGTGACAGGTATGTCTGTAAAACTGTGTTCTCTTACACGGAACACATGCGTAAAAGTGCTTACTCTAACACGAGAAACACGTGTAAATCAGTATAGTCTAACACAGGACACGTGTGTAAAAGCGCGTACTCTTACACGAGAAATGCGTATAAAGCGTTGAAAATTGTGTACTCCAACACGAGAAATTTCGGTGATACTAACACTTATTATCTCGAACGATCGACTTAATTTCTCGAGCTCTCGACATATCTACTAGCAGATCACGACCGTTTTATAACTACCGTAAACAACGATATAGTCTGTAGATTAATCAGTATTGCTGTATTTAAATGGCATGCTGCTATGTCGAGTGGTCGAGAAATTAAAAGTCAAGCGTTTGAGATAATAAAGTCGAGTGTCCGAGAAGTTATGTCGGACAGTATCGAAGTTATTGCTAAATATTACTTGCCTGTTTGATGCGATTAATAATCCAATCAAACATATATACATGTTTCATGTACATTTCATGATGGTTATAATCGTAAACATAGATATATACAAATTGTTCAACAAAAATGTCTTCTATTGTAAATACAACACGGAAATGAGCTACATGTAAATATCCCAACTACCAGGTAATTATCTATGACGTTCAATATTGACTATAAAGATGTAGTAGGATGCGTGGGTCTATGGAACATCGTGATGGCACGTTATATAGTACAGGCTATAATGAGGTAGAGAAACCAGAGACGTACTTAAACCTCATACTGTACTGACTCACAAAATCACAAGAATAAAAACATGACTATCACAATTATCTATCAAATTAATTTTCTTCATGTCAATGTTAAAATAAAGTTTAAAAAAAGAGAGAAAAAAACTTACTTCAGTTTGCTAATCTTCCCCGTAGATGTCGCCAGTGAGTAGAGTATGTTATTTCCAACCTACATTAATGGGACCATTACGATATGCCGGTAATTAGCTAGGTGAAGCGGTGGGTGGGGACTTACGTAACAGTTCCTCTCTGGGGTGTAGTTAACAGTAACAAGATTTATAAACGCTACGACCCCCTCCCGCTGTCATCTAATTTGACACGGCTGTTCATTGTGAGCTGGACACATTGGGACAAAGCCGACCAGACTATACATTGTGTACTGGTCATTCCGGACTGGGCTGGTCAGTTTTAGACAATATAGAGAGGATACCACGATTGCTATAGTTTATGACACGTCTATAAAGTGTCTTTCTACCTTGTAATAACATATTACCATGCTCCTAGTGCTTTCTCAGGTGGTGACCAGTAACTTGAGATGTTTACGCCGTCAGGAAATTAAGCTGATAGTGATGACCATCACACTGTTAGGTGTTAAAATAATAAACAACAATAGCTGTTGTGAGGCCCTCGTGTCCCCGGGTGATGGAAGGTACACGTACTTGATATATCCCGACATAATGAAGTCAACGCTATCTTCTTGTGTAAAATAGCTTTTTGCACAAACAAATTATTATGTGTTAAATTTCAAACGTGTCATGTGTCATTTTTTTCTATTTAAAAGTATAGATGTATGTTTCATAACGAGTTTGGTTTCTTTTGTGAAAATATAAACAAATTGTTTAGCATTACTCGTAATGAAATGTATAAATAATGTTAATGAAATATCTATGAAATACAGTGTATTTTTACTACGTGACCATAAGATCAGATCCTAACATGACATGTAAAGTTTCCTTGTGTTTTAATGAGGAGGTGATGTAACCGTATCTATTGTACACTAAATAACGATGTAGTAATGTTAACCTTCGTATCCCACGCAATGTTATTACATAGCAAGCTTTGAACCTCAAATAATTAAAAGATATCTTTTCATTGCTGATACGTCTCATTAACAATTTAGATATTTTGTAACTTACACGAGATATACGTATATATATTTGATGGTTATTCGCTGAATGGACGCAAAAAGGAATGTATCATAGAGGTTTACGGTTATTGTCCGGAGTGAGGTCCAGTGTAACTTGGACATCAGCCACTAGACTGAACTAAAGGGGAAACTTAAGTTGCTGCCGATACCTCGCCACAGATGATAGATTACCATTGTCTCACCTGTGACCACCAACAAACAATTAGGTACAAGACATGGCATTTTATGGCAGGTTTTTTTTTCAGAAAAACAAAAATGATTGTGTATTATATTCAAGGTGGTCGCATGTCATTCGAAGTTTTACGACTTGGTAGATCCTGAAAGCTAGACAAAGACCTCCCCACGACCCTGTATAGACAGTAATATTTTCGTTATGTTTAAACATTTACATATATGTGACTTAAATAAATTGAATAAAATATCAAGGGACAGTGAATCACCCTAAAAGTGATTCAACTTTACTTTACAAGAATTAAAAAAGGGACCGTGATTCAACCTTAGCGTGATTCAGATTTACAAGAATTAAAAAGGGACCGTGATTCAATCTTAGTGATTCAGATTTACAAGAATTAAAAAGGGACCGTGATTCAACCTTAGAGTGATTCAACCTTAGAGTGATTCAACCTTAGTGATTCAGATTTACAAGAATTAAAAAGGGACCGTGATTCAGCCTTAGAGTGATTCAACCTTAGTGATTCAGATTTACAAGAATTAAAAAGGGACCGTGATTCAACCTTAGAGTGATTCAACCTTAGAGTGATTCAACCTTAGTGATTCAGATTTACAAGAATTAAAAAGGGACCGTGATTCAACCTTAGAGTGATTCAACCTTAGAGTGATTCAACCTTAGTGATTCAGATTTACAAGAATTAAAAAGGGACCGTGATTCAACCTTAGAGTGATTCAACCTTAGTGATTCAGATTTACAAGAATTAAAAAGGGACCGTGATTCAACCTTAGAGTGATTCAGATTTACAAGAATTAAAAAGGGACCGTGATTCAACCTTAGAGTGATTCAACCTTAGTGATTCAGATTTACAAGAATTAAAAAGGGACCGTGATTCAACCTTAGTGATTCAGATTTACAAGAATTAAAAAGGGACCGTGATTCAACCTTAGTGATTCAGATTTACAAGAATTAAAAAGGGACCGTGATTCAACCTTAGTGATTCAGATTTACAAGAATTAAAAAGGGACCGTGATTCAACCTTAGAGTGATTCAACCTTAGAGTGATTCAACCTTAGTGATTCAGATTTAGAAGAATTAAAAAGGGACCGTGATTCAGCCTTAGAGTGATTCAGATTTACAAGAATTAAAAAGGGACCGTGATTCAACCTTAGAGTGATTCAACCTTAGTGATTCAGATTTACAAGAATTAAAAAGGGACCGTGATTCAACCTTAGTGATTCAGATTTACAAGAATTAAAAAGGGACCGTGATTCAACCTTAGTGATTCAGATTTACAAGAATTAAAAAGGGACCGTGATTCAACCTTAGTGATTCAGATTTACAAGAATTAAAAAGGGACCGTGATTCAACCTTAGAGTGATTCAACCTTAGAGTGATTCAACCTTAGAGTGATTCAACCTTAGAGTGATTCAACCTTAGTGATTCAGATTTACAAGAATTAAAAAGGGACCGTGATTCAACCTTAGTGATTCAGATTTACAAGAATTAAAAAGGGACCGTGATTCAACCTTAGTGATTCAGATTTACAAGAATTAAAAAGGGACCGTGATTCAACCTTAGTGATTCAGATTTACAAGAATTAAAAAGGGACCGTGATTCAACCTTAGAGTGATTCAACCTTAGAGTGATTCAGATTTACAAGAATTAAAAAGGGACCGTGATTCAGCCTTAGAGTGATTCAGCTTTATAAAGTACTTTATTGTTTCCATGGTTGATAACGTATGCTTATTCAATTGGCAGTTTTCCTTCTTTCCTATTTTTATTCGGTAACGAGAAGAGTTAGTTTTGGCTCAACTTTCTAGTTGCAATGATTACAATTTATTTACATGTACGATGGTATTTGTGATTTTTTCAGACTCTCTCTATTCCAAGATATGATAATTGTTACGACATTCACGTTAATCACAGTATAGCACACCAAATTTATCTGCGTTTATTAGTTATTAGCACGTGAATGTTCCTTCATGACTGAAACGCTGGAATTTGCTCGTCGCTTGAACAAGCGACTTTTATATTGTACATATCATATTAATATGTGTCTCAGTATCTCCCATGGGACCGGTTACCTTACACATTGTTATGCATTGTTATCTATATTGAGATTTGGGTGTAGGGCTCTTTTAAAAGACCACGAAGACCATATATCATATTTCGTAATATACCATTTAATTGTTC